AGGGTCCCCCATTTTCGAAAACCCCCTTCTCGAAACCCTGCGGCAAGTGTCTTGCACAGGCACCAGGTCCCCTTTCAGCACGCATGTCGCCGGGTTCCTCAGCGTTGGATTTGGTTTACGATATATGGTTTCAGGTTGGGGCTTGAAGATTAAAGATTGGAGGTGTGCAAATACCCTCCGCGACGCGCACTTTGGCTCAAGGTACAGTGGGAAATGGAGGCGAGCGACGCCTGTAGTTTGGGACACCGTGTCAGCCAACCGTAACCCCAAACTTCACCCCAAACCTTGCCAGTGGCCACTCCAAATGCAGCAGAAACATAGGTAGACAGTCAGCACCTTTCAACCAGAGCCCAAGCTGCCCGAGGAGAATGTCTTCCTCCGGATAGCAGGTCACCGAGACGCCGAGGCTACCATCCTTCCACGGCGAGGGCTTCTTTCTGCCAAGGCTCTTCGGGTCTCCACTCTTGTGATTGCTCATCCAGTCTATGAGGCAGGACGCAGGGGCTTGGGCTCGTGGCATTGGCCTCAGGACTGAATCTGGCAGCAGCGAAAACAACCTCTCACAGTCAGCTCCCACATCAGTTCATAGCAACACTTCGCAAAATCTTGCCGGAGAACGCAATGTAGCAACAGTTACTATATTGAAACCCTGCCGTAAACTCGGGCAGCCCGAAGCTGCCTAAACCTTCCTGCTCTGAACACAAAGCCCGAATGCATTTTGGGTTTAGGGATTCCCGGGCCTCGAGAGTCGCATTGTCCGTGGTGTTGCTGTCGTTGCTGTCGCTGCTGTCATTGCTGTCGTTGGTCTCATCTGAGGTGTTCTGGGATGTTGTCCTGCACAACATGTTGCGAAGAATGGGGTGCGGAGGTCAAGCTAGAGGACTTGTGGGCTTTTTTCTCTGCAGACAGATCCACCTGAGAAGCGCAGGACATGGAATGCCCCCTAGCCCCTAGCATGTCTTGTCTACATCAGCACAAGTCTGGGACTCGATTTAGGGGAAGCAGCCAAACAGTAGCAAGGTGATTCAATGGACTCAGAACCCAAAAGCTCGGGGTCGTGTCCACGCTCGGCATGCAAGAAAGAAGATCCACTTCTCTGTGGAAATGCACCGAACTCTTTGTCGGGCTTGGGCTACAAGAGTTCTCAGCTCAGGGCGTACTGTACGTCCGGGCTACGGCATGCCATCGAAACATCGCGTTCAACAGATCCCAGAGCTGTTTAGACTCTCCGCATGCCCAAAAACGGTCAGGAGTCAACTTGGACGGGAGGGTCCCAGTATTGAGTTTGCTACATTGGATTCAGCAGGCTAACGTAAAGCTCCTCAGACCTACATCGAGACTGCAAGCGCGCAAGACTTGCGGATCTGCGAACAGCGCCCACGAACTTCTATCTCGAATGTGTTGCCCCGTTCCCCTGTACGGGCCCAGTCCCTGTCAACAGCCCCAGGAACAGCACGCAGTGCAGGCGACAGCGCATGGCCCCCGGACATTCCGAGATCAGGGGGCTTGCGAGGCTTTTGGCGGTCGGAGCTCTGTCAGCTTGCAGCCGAGCTTAGGGTCTAGGCTATCGGGGTTCAGGGCTTTCGGCTAGGGGCCTGGGATGGCGTGGGAATCGCCGGTTATGACGCAGAGGTCTGTGGTTTGAGGGGGGGCTCGGGGGTTCGGAGTTAGGGGCTTTTACTGTTTCAGAAGCGGTTCGTAGTATGGAAGCTGCACATGGCCACGGGACATCCCCATCGCTTTTGACAGCTATCGTCCTCCAAGGCCTTATCCAACTTTATCCATTCGCGTTACTGTCATGTTCTGCTACCGAAGCAGAATATGTTTGCACGGGTGGATCTCCAGACTCTTAACCTCAGCAGTTCAGGCTTTGGGATGGGATCGAAGCCCTTTACCCCAAGAACCCCCAACCCTAAACCCTAAACCCTAAACCCAAAGCCCTAAGCCCTAAGCCCTAAGCCCTAAGCCCTAAACCCTAAGCCCTAAACCCAGATCCCGAAGCCCATGGTCCGAAAGGCCCCCCAAACACGACAAGAGCGGCCAGACCCCTTGCCTTGAGAACAAAGAAATGCCGCCTGTAGTCGGGCTTAATATAGGGGCCCCTTCATAATTAGAATAGGGTTTTGGGGGATAGTATACCCCAAACCATATTCTAATTATTAAGGCCCCTATCTTATTCAGTTCGTGGGCTGTTGGAGTCTACAGGTTCGGGCGGGTTAGAGCCTCAGAAGCTCTGGACCTGGAGCTTTTGCACGTTCGGACTGGGTTTAGGGTTTTGTTAGGGTTTAGGGTTTAGGGATCTGAAGGATGGCTTCGACGCAACAAACATCAACGTGTGAACTGCATTGACCTTGGAGGTGTCCAGGCTCGAATCCCTCTGCGGATTCCATGTTCAGGCAATTGTCTTGAGTCCATGCCCTGTGCACCATATACCATGCAGCCACAGAGACCCTAACGCCGCGACACCTCTTTTCACTTGCAGCCCTACTTCAATTCTAAACGCCCCGCACAGTCCCCGAAAGCCCGATACTCTTAAACCCTCTACTACCACATCATGTTCACCTTGCGAGACACTCCTAAACCCGAAATTCAAGACTGTAACCCCGAACCGCCAGAGCCCCGGATTCCTAACATTCAGAAGCCCTCAGATCCTGAGGCCCCAAACCTTAAGACTCCAAACTCGAAAAACACCCTAAACCACCAAATCAACAAGTGTGTATGTATATGTGGGTGTATGTATGCATGTCAATGTGTGTATATACATATACAAACATATATATATATATATATGCATAGATATCTATAGCTATAGATACACACACACACGGGCGTTTGTATGTTTATACATCTGTGTACTTATTTATATTTCCGAAAACCCCTGCACCTCCTTCATTGAGTTCACGCCGTAAACGCCAAAAGCGATCCAGGTTCCGCCGAGCTGCTGCCACTGCCAGCAGACCCCAGCGCCGGCGGCCTTCGGCTGGACGCGCCGCTGCCTCGGACGAGGTTTTGGGTGAGGGCAATTACCCATGCTATTATTGAGGGTTCCTGTTGCCAGCATAGTAGAACATCTTCTAACATCGGTGCCTTCAGTCACTTAGGGTAGAAGCATTGATCTTCATCTGCTGCTCGGGCCGCCTACGAACTCAATGCTGTTCCCCCGTGTAAACAAAAGGACGCCAAAGCCTGACCCTGCGCCTACGGCCTACGGCCCCAGCTGCAATGAACTTTTGCGAGGTTCCCAAACTCTTCCTGAACCTTACACCTCTTTAGCCCCAAACTTCCTAAACCCTACGCCTTAGGCGCTAAACTGAATATCTTCAGCCATTAACCTGAAAACGCGAAGCCCCAAACTTAGCCTAACACCCTGCAACTGAATTGAAAACCTTACGCCATAAATCGAAAAGCTTAAGCCCTAAAACCCGCAAAACCCAATACCTCACATGGAAAATCTCAAGCCCTGAACCAAACCGGGACCCCCGGCAAATCCATAAAGCCAAAGCGGGCCGTCTCTGCCCCGGAGAGCAGCCTCGGATTTCTCTTCTTTGAAGGATACCTCTAGTCTAGAGTCTGGGGCCGTTGGGTCCGTTGGGTACTGCCCCCATACAGTAATAGTCTATAATAGGGCTACTATGAAGGCCCTACTATGAAGGCCCTAATATATCCATAAATATTATCCAACTGTTACTGAGTGGGGGCAGTACCCAAGCTGAGTCCAGGGTTCCATGGTAGTTTGATGGTCTGCTAAAAATGTCGAGACTGGGCTTCGAGACTTCTTTGCGATGGCGTTTGCAGGCTACTGCCATGTGGGGCTTCACTTTTTCCAACCTGTCTTAGGTTGGGAGGGTTAGGTTGTCAAGCTTGACGTTGAGAGCTTGAGACTATGGCTTGTGGCATTGGGTTTTGAGGGCTTGCAGTTTCTGGGACTAACGATGCCCACGATTTGCGACGACCGTTGCAAACAATGCTTTTCTGACATGGATGCGCGAGTATGAAGATGCAACATGTGCTGAAACCCTCGAAGTTCCGTCGACGTTCCCTCGAGATTCTGCACGGCTCATCACGATGGAATGCAAAGTATTGCATGCTTCGACTGTGCCTACCAGTATTGCTTCTGATGACGCGGAGTCGTCGCCGTCCGTCTTATTGTTGTTCTTCTTGTGATTCTTCTTCTTCTGTCACTGCTGCTACAAGTAGTGCTAGGCCTCTCAAAACTTACAAGGCTGTTCGGACAGTTATGCAAACAATCGCTGCAATTTTAAGTTCTAGGCGAGCCCTGGACTCCTTGCAGCTGAATAGCATCGTCCCGAGGCCCCCCACTCCTCCCTCCCCCATTCCGAGAAAACCCGGAACTCAAACTCGATGCTTCACAGTCGCAGCGATGCAGATGCACGCGGCAGCAGCCTTTGCAAGCAGCGCTAGAGGTCTGGGTGTAGGTCCGGGTGCAGGACCAGCCGCAATGAGTCCAAACGTAGTCATGGCAATACTTGCCCAGACCTTGAAGCCTTAAACACTCCATCGGCAACTCTAGGCCTGCAAATGTATAGACCCATGCCTCCAAATCCTATACACAGCCGACGACGACTACTACGAACACGACCACTACCATCACTACTGCCACTGCTACCACCACCACCACCACCACCACTATGCTTTGCGCTAGCGCCATGGTGGTTGTGTTGACCTTGGGCCCCGTGCGCGAAGACGTTGGGCTCCACGAAGGCCAGCCTCAATCTATCTCTGCTGCCCCCAAATTGTCTATGATATAAACCGTAAGCCCTAGCTCGTGAAGCTGAGAACGAGCGGAAAGCCGCGTGTTTTGTCTTCGCACACTACCATCGAAGTGTGCATTTGGCTCACGATTGGGTCTGGTTCCGATGCTCCCACGATTATCTGCGTGGAAGTACTTGTTAATACAAGATCGAAACCCTCCTGCAACTGTTACTGCATTGGGTAGTCCTGCCACATAGCATGTCGAGCAAGGAGGAAGGTTGAGGCGTCCTTCGAGGTTTAGGGCTTTGGGGCCTAGGGTCTTAAGCTCTTCAGAGACTGTCGGCTCTCATGAAGGCCTGAGGGCTTGAGCCCAAGGCTCGAAGGCCCTTTAACACCCGTGGTTCTACAAGCAACCTCAAGCCTGCGCCCTATTCAGAAATCCCTTTGCCCACCAAGTGGGTCGGCAGAAGCATACTGTATCTGGGGAAAGCAATAGCCGAAACAGCTACCTCATTGTTAGTACACTCCGTCAGTCATGTGCGCAGGCGGGGTTACATTTCTTTAGAAGAAGAGCAAGCCGCCTGTTCAAGACTAGAAAAATAATGCTTCTACCGTAACACTCATCGTCAGTGTGGTGGTGGTGGCGGCGGTGGCGGCGATGGTGACGGCGGTGGCGGCGGCGGTGGCGGCGGCGGTCGTGATGGTGGTGATGGTGGTAGCCATCATGGAAGCACCCGCAAAACCGATTCCAACCCCCCAAACTGTGAAACTTAAACCCGGCTCCCTGAACCCAAACTCGGAACCCGAAACAGAAGTTCTGCTGCCAAGCCGAGTGTGGCCCCAGTGGCGTGCCAACGGCTGCTTCCTGACGCTGCCCGGACAGGTCCAGCAAAGGGAGAACCTCGGGTTCTTTTTTGGCTCTCTTGGCACGGGCTTCGGATGGCTTCGGGGTAAGGGCTCGAGATGGCTATGAGGAGAAGGGCTTAGAGGTTTCATCCTCTGTGTAGGGGCCATCCTGCGACCCCCCAAAACAAGGGCTCGGGCTAGGCTTCAAAAAGGTTTAGCGATAAACCTCGAAGTGGAGCTTGGAATCGAATGTTAGGCTCCCATATTCACTTCGGAACACTCCTTGAGCTGTTGTGTGGCTCAGCGCGGGCCGCTGGCATTGTGTTCACAAAGCTTCCTTGAGGAGACTGAATATCCTCCAAGAGCCGTATAAAACCTGTGATATTGCTGAACCTTGCGAACCCGGCTAGCCATACAACACGATTTCTGAGCCCTATCGAAGTTGCATGTATTATCTACTACTATTTTGCCAAGTCTCGACCAAAGCCGCATGGAAACACTCGCAAGCCCTACTCAGCACCCGAATCCGATCCTCTCTGGAGACCCGGACTGCGTCCGGATCCACCACCACGAAATCCTCTCAACTGGGCTTCGGAAGTGAGTCTTCTGTTGATCGTCTTTTGACAACTGATATTGAGAATCGGAGGTGAGTTTAGGTTTAAGGGTTTATGGCCAGTTAAGGGCCGTGAGTTCCATGTAGGGTTTTGAGCTGCACGGCTTTTCGCGTATTTCGAGGGCTCCCCGGCCCCAGAACTGGATAATGTAGGGGCGCCCTGAATAATTGAAACAGGGCCTTTCAGTTGGGTTTGGCGGTGTGTTGTAGAGGTATGTTCCGAAAATGGGATATAACAATTGAGGATTCAGACCCCTTTGTATTGCAAGGACGTCTGCCATCTGGACGAGTAAAAGTTCATCCGTAGCTTCCTGTTTGTCCGAACCTCCTGCAGATCGCGATGGCATTCTACATGCTTCGTCAATTCAGCTAGGTGCACTACAGTAACAGAAACAGCTACACATGACGAGCCAGCATGGCAATCTCATTAACCTTGCGGGTTCTAGCTGCTGTGAACAAGATTGCCGGAAACTCCTTGAGCTCTAGACTCTCAACTGCGCGTAAGACTGCCGAGAAACAGAACGGTAAGTTTTCCGGGTTCGGGGCTCTCAAGTAGTATTCAGGGTTCAAGGTCTGGGACGCAGGGCTTGGGCTTCTGCTTCGCTTCGCTCTAACATCCCGGGTCTTGTGGGGTGATTCAGCAGCTCGCCTCAACTCCGAGGCTGGGTACTGGGTCGAAGGTTTAGGGCCTTTAGGTCTAGGGCTTAAGGTACAGCGTTTAGGGTTTAGGGTTTACCATAAACCCTAAATCCCCAATGCTTGGGAGCGTCCCTGAACCCTCAATTCTACACGCCAATTCGTTAAAGGATTAGGTTTCAAGGCCCTAGACATTGAAGGTTTAACAGTCTAACCGCTCAAAGCTTCCTTCAGAAGCTCTAGCCCAAGTCCTTCGGCGGCTCATCTGGGCTGTCAGACTCGGTTACGTGCCTTGGCTGGCGTTGATTTGGGGGCTCGTCAGGGATCATGGCCATCCTCCTCTTTGGTGTCCGCCCGCCTCTTCAAGGCCACGGGTCCCTGCAACCCGAAGCCCCCTAAACCCGAAACCCGAAACCCCCGAACCCAGACTTCCGCAACTCCCGAGGACCCAGCAGACCAGGCCATCCTGCTCGCACCTTCGGGAGCTAAGGAATACCTTCTACGCGGTAGATCTGTTAGTTTTCAAGGAGCAATCCCTAAGTTGCGGTAGAGTTACTGAGTATGAGGGCCAAGGGATAGTGTGGAGCTCCTGGGTGATATTCGGTTTCATGTTTCAGACAACTAAAATCATTCCGCGTTCTGCGATGCCTTCTGAAAGTCCGACTGGGGGCAAGCTCAAAGAAACCTCTAGGATCCAGGAAGACGAATTCAGCACAAGAAACTAAAGCCCTCTAGCCCGAAAATCTGCAAGCGCGATAGTTCAGCTGTAGGCACCAAGAGGGTCCTACGGAAGCCCTTTTGACAACTAAATCCGGCGCCACCGAAGGTGTGTGCAGGTTCAGAGCTTATAGCCCCCTCCAGCTCCCTTGCTCTTCTCAACTCGGGGTTGTTCCTCAAGCTAGGGCTTCTTATCATTCAGGGGTCTTGGGCTCTCTGGGCAAACCCGCTTGGTTTCGGTGCCAGCAAAGGAAGCCCGGAAAGAAGAGGATTAGGGTTTAGGGTTTAGGATTTAGGGTTTAGGGTTTAATTGGACTGGGAAGTGCCCAGGAAAGGCTGAGGCTGGCGCCATAGCCTGCCAGAGTTCCTGCTCAAGGCGGCAAAAAATGTCGGGCTCGTACAGATCTCGCCGGGCTCTTTACATGGGCTCTTATAGGGGCCTTGTAGGGCTTTGCAGGCTTCTGATATGGTAGAGCTCCTATGAACTAATACCCGCGCCCTGAATACTGCTGCTGGCACAACTGAGACGACTGAACGTTTACAGTAAGACTCAAAAATCGCAAGCATGGATACGGAAAGAAAAAGATGATTAGTACTGGGCTTCTCTAGACGTTGTCTGAAGGGGCATGAGGATGTTGATGAGCTACCATTCTGGTTCACACCGTCGGGTTTGAACTTATCAGACGCTCAGTCTCAGAATTTCTGGGTGCAGGCTTCGAAAGATGGGCAGAACCTGTCTGCTCTCAGCGACACTCTCCCGCACTTCCTAGCCCAAAGCATGTGCCTCCAAGAAGGCATCCCTGGACCCGGGAGGAAAGTTGAGCCTTAACAGGGCATGCGAAAAAGAGAATGGCAATCATAGGAAGCCCAGATACTGCTGAAACAAAAAGTGGTGGTGGTGGTGGTGGTGGTGGTGGCAGCAGCGAAAGTAGCCCGGCAGCAGCAGCAGTAGCGGTAGCAGTGGCGGGGAGTAGCAGCAGTAGCGGCAGCGGTAGCAGTAGCAATAGAAGTAGCAGGAGCAGGAGCAGTAGCAGTAGCAGTAGCAGCAGCAGCAGCAGCAGCAGCAGCAGTAGTGGCAGTCGTGCAGTGGCAGCAGTGCCGTATAGTAGCGGTACTACTTACTACTAGTAGTAATCGTCGTCGTAGCAGCAGTAGGAGGAGGAGGAGTAGGAGCAGGTGCAGGACTTGGAGTTGGCCCAACGTTCACGAGACAGGGCTTTAGAGGGCGGTGCTCCAGTGAATGTACCCAAGAACCACCAGGCAGGGCTTCGAAGGCTGTGTGGGCAGCCACAGCCCACCGACGTGAACTTTGCCCAAACTGGTGTAGTGCGGCGTAGTGGCATAGTGGAGTAGTATTGTAGTGGTGTAGTACTGTATCAGTCCAGTGGACTAGTATAGTGGGGTAGTAGTGTAGCAGTGTTACCGTGTAGTAGTGTGGTAGGGTAGTAGTGCAGTGGTGTAGTGGTAGCGTGGTAGCGTGGTAGTGTGGAAGTGTGGGATTGTGGTAGCGTAGTGACAATGTGAGTCGTGGTCGTAGTCCTGGTCGTCGTTGTCACTGCAGCAGCAGAAGCAGTAGGTAAGAATAAAACGACTAGACGCAATATACTAAACGAACCCTTCGGACCCAAGCAGCCGCAGCAAAGGGCACTGGGACATTTCATGGATTTGGACTTAGTGCTCTTGCTCTGTCCCCAAATCCGGGCTTCTCACAGGATGTCTGCGCTGCTGCGGATCCGAATAAGCAGCAAGGTTTCGCAGCCTGGATGACTCAGAACCGATGACTCCGAACCGCAGGGGAGGTCTGTGGCAGGGACAAACAAGGCATTGAGGTAGCTGAAAGCTGGGCCGAATTGGATTTATCTCTGATGCCGCAAAAGGGCACGGTACCAGATTTCCGAACGGCTAACACACGAGATAACAAATGGGACATGTCTCTTTCGGGCTTTGCGGTCGTAGCACCGTACGCAATCACTGAGACTGAAGTTGAGGCCAAAGTGCAGCACCGGAGAACCCATTCCGATGAAAGCTTTGATGTCTGATCTCGCAATGCAAGTCGAAACGAGCAGCATATGCAAACTGTTTCAACAGCAATCATGGTCCGAGGAAAGCTAGGACCCCTTCTCCTTGAGTCTAACCCAACACTTGGGACCCCAAACAATCTCACCAACCACCAACCATTGTATCAGACTTCCGTGATCCCACTTGCCAGCGAATCAAACAAAAAGCATAAGGCGTTAAGGCTAAGGTTTGAAGGTTTCAGATTGCGGGCTTTCGGTTTAAAGTTCTGGTTTACTTAACCGTTGCGTTTCAGGTTCGGCGTTTAAGGCCTTTTCGGTGGGTCTATCGCTTAGAACAGGATAGAAGCTGGTCGCGAAGTCTAGGCGGTGTCATGTCTCATGGGCCAGGACAGAGCCCTAAACTTTCGACCCCTGCCCCCCGAACGGCCCCAGGGAGCCAAACCGTGGATCTGCTGGCCCTGGGTCCTCCGACGCTGTGGCACAATGACCTGCCGAAGGCCAGAGAGCGCCACTCCTGACAAGGCAAGCATGGCACGACGACTTGTGGTGACTATGTGACTAGCTTCTGCGCTACAGTGAAGGAACTGTCGTCATCGAATCCGGCGTTCATAGGTTAGGTGACGGGCAATATAAAGTCAAGAAGTGGGTCGCATGATGCACGTCACACACGGCATGCAGGAACGGCAGCCTACAAAGCATGCCCAGAAGAAACAGGCAGCGGCCCAGATGAACTGAAAAGCCTAACCTCCAAACTCTGACAAGAGTTGATTGAGCACCGCCTTCTGCCACCGACCATCCCGTGGCCATTGCCGCCCGGCCTGGGTGCTGGAGGCAGTGTGGATTCTGCACTTTCTGGTTTGATTTGGATTTTGGATTTTGGGAGGCCTCAGAGAGTGGAGTTTCGGGTTTTGGGCCAAGATCTCCTCTTCATCTTGCTGCGAAGGACGACATTGAAGCTGAGTGGGTGTTGCAGACACCATGAGTGGACACAAGGGAGGGGAGAAGATCGCAGAACGCAACCTCGCTAACGGTCAAAGTGGATGCACTTCTTGCTTGGTTCCATGGTACCCGCATAGTTCAAAAAGCCATGCATGGATGCTTTTTAGTTTCTTCCTTGTCACTATCATGTATTCCAAGAGCATTCACTGTCGACTTCTGACACGAACACGGTGACACTACTGCCAGGACACGTAGCCTACATCAATATCCCTGTCAGTACTAGTGTCTCTCTGTCTCTGCCATGTAGGTAAGAACCGGCAGTAGTTTGTTGGGTGCTGTTACAAGCATTGATGTGTCACATATTTCGCCGTGCATGCTATTCCTGGTATACCTGTTCCTACTTCTTTTGCTGGGTCTTTGCGAGTAGCACTCTTGCATTGGTTGCTGTGTCATGACGGGTATTATAATCGCGGTGCTACTTTGATTATTGTTCCTTCTCTTGCATTGCTCCGAGTGCATGACCTGATTCACCAAGACCGACACTCAATAACACGAGACACCAAACCCGAATCGTAACTAGCGGCAACTTCAGAAATCCTTCGAGCAGCAGCCGCAAAATTGTTCCTTCCTCTTGGGGGGCTGGCCGGGTTCTTGTTATGCCACCTACGAGTTACGCAATGCTACTGAAGCCCTAAACTGCAACATTGAAGCCTCATCTCCAAGCACATCCAAGTCGCTGCCACAGCGCCTAGGCTGAGAGACATGGGTTGACCAATAGGTTTGGATGAATTTTGGTTGCTCGCGTTAAGGACGAAGCCTTGAAAGGTATGGCGCACTGGACCTTCTACTAATATGCCATACACCTTGCATGAATGCTCAGCATTGTCGAACGTTACCCGACCATCGCCATGGAAGTCCTCGAGCTTCTTTCGAGGACCAGTCGTCTTCCACGAGTCTTGTTCGGCCTACCGTTCCGTAGTTTGTGCCACTATGCGGATTCCAAACTCGGTGCAACCACCTGAAATCTTCACGTCTAGCAGCTTGGGAGTCCATCCCGGCTAAAAAATTGCTCTCGGCAGTGGAGCCGAAAAGAAAAAACCTGCGAACAGAGCCACCCATGCAAGACCTGTAGCAGGCTGAAGGCACCAACCTGGATCTACTCCAGTGAACGTGCGCTTCTTGTAGTATTCCTGGTCGGCATCGTCATCACCATCATTGCACCATCAAAGGTTCATCATACTGTCATCATACCAACACCACCACCACCACCACCACCACCACCACCACCACAAGATGCAGCACCATCATCGGGGCCGTCCTTATGGCACGCCTTATGGTAATCATCACCTTTGGCGGGAATCATGTTTAGTGCATTGCTGTCGTCCTCCTCGCTGTCGACACCGCGGTAGCAGTAGTAGCAATGGAAACGGCGGCGGCGGCAGAGTCACCATCATCATCCTCATCTCGAGAAAACAAGTAGTAGTTAGAGCTGCACTGAACTTTTCCTGGGGCCGTCGCAAGAAAAGCACACGCTCTGAAGTGAGCACCAATGCCTCTCCAATGCGAGCCCGAAGGAAGAGAGAGAGCCAGCGAGAGCGAGTGAGAGCGAAAGAGAAAGGGGGGAGGGAGGGAGGGAGAGAGAGAGTGTGTGTGTGTGT